TATATATATAGCATTATGAGATTACATGTAGAAATGGTTTTGTATTTATAATGTTCTTTTAATTTCTAATACTATTTTTGGTATAAAAAAAAAAAAATTCACAAATATCTCTGATATATTAAAAATCTCTTAATATTTATGGACGGCAGCATGTTTTACATTGATTAAAATTTTCATTAAATTTATGGACGGCAACGTGTGATGTCTATATTATATCTATCCTATAATTATTATGTCAATAATAACTTTTAAAAAGATTTCAAAAAAATGGACGGCACATATTAAAATACCCATGTAACATAAGTAACATTAAATTAGTTAAAAAAGGAATGATTTAACGTAACGTAAATAAAAATTTCATTTTATCTTCTAAGCAATGGATTAATTACTATTAGTAATGACAAAATGATAACCCAACTTGCTTGGATTGAAGATGCACCAGCTATACGGCATTTGAACATATCGTACCTGTTGATATACCATTTGTCATTTAATTTAGAAATTATTTTAATATCATAAATGTGTATAATAAATTATTAATCAGTTATTTTACCTTGTTTCTTTGTCATCGACAATATTACTGAACTCTGCTTCTACTAGCTGCCCATCATAGTATGTAATATAATCTTCAAAAGGATATTCAAATCCTTGTTTGCATTCACATTTATATCCACCTGTTTCAAAACCTCGACCAAGGATAGGCACACACTGTAATATAAATTATATATAAATTATATTGAAATAAATTTTCGTTAAAAATGTTCTTTATAAATTTCATATTAATAATAGCTTACATATGACGTTTTTCTATCACATTTATGTGTATGTTTAAATGCATTCGGACGATAAAATTTATCATCGCATTGATTGATATCCAATTGAAGTAAATCCATAGTAACAGCAACCACACCTCTGCAAAATATTATTTTCAATGAATAATAATAATAATAATATAATATTGTATTTAATTACATGAAATTATTGAACGTTTATTTGATTGATTACTTACTTAAATTCTAATTTTTGTCTTAAACTGTCCCAACCGAAGAATGGAGATGCATAAGTAATTATCCATTTTTTCACTTTACCATCACAATCGAAGTATGGAACTGTCCAGTAACCATGATTCAGATTTGCTGCTCTATAAGATTCATTTGTATTATTAGAAAAGAATTAATTATTTCATTTTATTTCTACATAATTAGTTTATCGATAATACTTCTTTCTTACCGATAATGATTTGGATAACGTTCATATTGTTTAAGATATTCGCCAGTTTCGTTGTATCTAATTTTTATTTTCATAAAATATTTCTCTAAATCATCGAAATTGGCTGCCCATCTTTGTTTCAAAAATTTGAAATAATTTTTTCTAGTGTAAACTTCATCTGTACAAATGAAAAATAAATAGAAATCATTCATTCATATGAATAATAATAATAATAATACGTGTGAGTTAATAATTAAATAAAATAATATATAACAATTGTCAAAATGATGTTTATACCAGTGTCATTTAATCTAGCCAAATCTTCAAGTTTAAACTTTCGCGTATTAAGCTCAGTTTTATAAGCCAAAGGTGCAAAATATGTCCTATTAGTAAATTTATTTCTATCCCAGAATGTTCCTGCTGACCAAATTTTGGTATCTCCAAGAATTAAAGCCAGTGTTTCGCCGAACATCTGATCTTCCGTAAGAGGTTTATCCGGTACCCTTTTACCAGAATAAACTTCATGCGTATCGGATATTTGTAGAAATGCACTAATAAAATTGGAAAGTCTTGTTGCCATTTTTGCTTCATTTTCAAAGAACTCTTCCGCACCAAAACCAATATCACCGTCCAAGACTAAATCATCTGCCGTATAACTAATAACAATTAATAACGTATTATTAATAAATTAATATAAATGTACTAACAATATATATTTTGTTGAAATAATAAATAAGAAATATACTTTTTACATGTTCTTGCATTTATACTGTTAATGAACTTTAATGTTTCATAGATATTCATTTTTGCCGGATTTGAATAGTCCGGCTCTGCTGTTAAATTCCTATACTGATAATACTGTTCAAGATATTTTTCTCTAATATAATATGGTGCTTTTTTCCATTCCACTGGCATTTTTTGAATCCCTATAAGAAATAAAGTTAAAAGTATGATTCTGGTTACTCTAATAATATCAATTACGTACTAACGACGTATTATTTACGTACATCCTATTTTACTACAATCAAATCCATTATAATATTGTTCTTGAGTTGCTCTTTCAATTATTTCTCCAAGATACGGTCGGCGTACAACAGTCGGTAATCTAAAACCTGGCTTACATCTACATTGATAACCACCTCTTCGAAATCCCCATCCATGCAATGGTTCACACTAAAAATATATATCATATTTATTTGTTAATTAACAAATTTACTGATTATTTCAATTAATTACCTCTGTAGTATCCGTTTTACATCGTGCAGTATTTGCAAATCTGTTCGGCCCATTATTTCCTTTACCCCTTGGACATTGATTTATATCTATTCTGTCAAAATCCATTTCTAATACAGATACAGCAGTATATCTAAAGAAATGAAATGATAATAAAATAATATTATATCCAAATATTATTCAATATATATATATATATATATATATACATATATATTAAACTCAAAGAAAAGCTCACTTTGGATATTCGATATGTCTAAATCCTGTATGTCGTGGATATACATCTGCAACTGGTGCTACAGCAGCTACAAGCCAACGGTTGGATCTTTCGCAATCAAAGTAAGGTCTAGTCCATTTCACAGGACCAGGGTATTCATCGGCACCTATAAAAATAAATACACATAAAGTACAATGTCACAATACACATTATAATGTAATAAAGATATTTCATACCTGGAGGTCCATGAAATGTAAAAGTTTCATTAGTATTATTAGCATAACGAATTTCAACTTGGTAGGTAGCTTTAGTATCATGTCTCTTTACTACGTTATCAGGTAACCACTTTTTGTACCTGAAATATATAATTCAAAATATAAACTTATATTAAACATTTATATCACACATATATGTTATTGCGAAAGAAGAATTAGAAATGAGTCATATACATATGTGACAAATAATTAACAATTTAATATAAGATTAATGTAATTTACACAAAAAGAAAAATATAATTTTCCTTAACGTATTCTTTAAAAAATATAATATGAAAAATATTTACCATTCATTTATCCTATAGTAATCAGTTGTATAATCTTTGCTAAGAGTATCACTAGGAAATGCACCAAGATCTTGTACGGTAAAAGTATTACGTGTAGATATTCTTTCCAAATGTATAGGATCATTAAAATCATCCGCTCTGAAAGTTCTCGGTGCAAACCTTGGCATGGTTTTATTAAAGAATCCTCTGTACGATGGAGTATATGAAGTATTTGGTGCAAAATATATAGCGGAAGCATTTATATAAGGATTAGAAGATACATCAGCAACCGTTGATAAAATATAATACATCATGCCTGGATCGTAAGTGTCATTGATGGCTGGTCTTATAAATCTAGATTGAAGTATATAACTCCAAAAAAAAGATCTGCTCAATGCCATGTTGTGTAAATGTAACAAAGCTGTTCTATTTGGAAACACAGGATTAATATTAATATCTTTTATATCTGGCAAATGTGATACTGAATCCTCTGGTAAATACAAATCACCAAGATATTGTATTGGACAATTATCTGCATTAACTTTGTCTATCCTAAATCGAATTTCATCAAATGGATCTCTTGATTGCCATTCATATTGACCAACAACGCCTAATAAAAGGCAAGTGACTATTAAACTTAGTCGAATAAAAGGATTCATTTTTCACACTTAATTTGAATTCTTTTTTGATATACTAGATAGAGATTTATTCTTCTTTAGATATTTAATTCCATATTAAATATAAATAGAAAACTTCTCTTTTTTATGAACACTTTATAGTTATTTGTTTTATTGAATTTCACATTAATTAATTTCATTAATATAAACACTTGTATTAATTACTATTAACACACCCAACACTGACGCTAATACTATGGGCGTTTACCAATTACAAACACATACCACATGGTATTTATCAATGATACCAAACTGACCAAATTGAAATTTTTATTCGTCCATCTTGTTGTTGGTGCACTACTGAAATCGCAACGCCAACTGGTGGTCAGAATTTCATTATTCTGTTCTTTTTTTAAATCTTAATATTGTTTTCTTTTTAATTTCATGTGTAATAGAAAAATACTAAAATGTTTTGTGATATTTCATATTATTATTAGTCATATAAATAAATAATTGTAAATCATTTATATTATTTATATCAAATCTTTAAATATATTAAGACATAGGAATAAAATATTCAATTATTATAAATTATTAAATTTATAATAAAGATAAAAAATTACTATTATTTCGTTGAAAATAATTAAATAAATCTTATTGAATTTCTAATTAATATAACATATTTAAATATCGCGCTCATGTTAATTATCGATCGCGCAATCTTAAGACCAATCAAAGTATTCTTCATTGTAGAAAAAATACTATACATCGCGTATGTCTCTTGAATAATTTATTTAAAAATTGATTATGCAATTACAAAATTAAATGATATCATTTCATTGTACAAAAGAATTAATATTCATTATTATAAATCAATTACTTGTGTTCAGCGTTACCTTTGTGATTTCTAATAACGTTTAACAATTTAAAATAATATTTTATTATATTTTATTTACTTTGTCATTAGTTATAATACAGAAAGAATTATTAAACAAAAATTAAAATGAATCGTTTGAGGAAACTTCTTTCAAGCAAAGAAACTCGAGATTATTTTCTAAGGCAAGTATAATAATGCTAAACTTTGATTATTTTCTTGTTTCTTTCCTAGTCAAATTGTAGATCTTTTTTTGTTTCAGTACACATTTTTGGGGACCGGTTGCTAATTGGGGTATTCCTATAGCTACTATTGCAGATATACAAAAAGATCCGAAATTTATTAGTGGTAAAATGACTGCGGGTAAGTATTATTTTCATATTTTTCTAAGATTGTATAGGTTATGTTTTTATATCTGAAACATCAAAATATCACAAAAACAAAAAAACAAAAAAAAAACTAACAAATTAATACAATTAAATGGATCATATTTGTTTAGGATTTGTTGAAAATTATACTTGAGAAAATCTAGATTGATAATAGTCATTTTAAGTAATTTTCTATTAAGATCTTTTAATAAATATGTTTTTTTATTATTATATCATATAAGCTTGATTATAATAGTACAAATATTTCCAGTTCATTATTGTTGTATAAGCAAATATTTAAGTAAGAAGATATTTAATACTAATAACTGTTTGATAGAAATATATAGGGTTGTCTTGTAACTGTTGGTACAAACGAGTAAAGGGTGATTCTACATAAAAAGTTAAATCGAAAATGTAGAATCACCCTAACCAGCTTGTACCACCAGTTACAGGGTATCCTTCATATAGCTTATAAAATATTTAATTTTACAGATACTTCATCTTTTTGTATGGTATTTGTTAAATCAAACTTTTATTTGCGCGTATTGATTTTTTTATACTTCTCTCTTATCGTTTATCACTAAATATTAAATTACACTTAAAAAACAAACAAACAAACAAACAAAATCATTCTATATAGGGAAATGGATCTTTTTCGTTTATTTTTATACTTTAATACTAATCTTTTTTAGCATTATGTGTATATTCAGCAGCGTTTATGAGATTTGCATTAAGAGTGCAGCCACGCAATATGCTACTTTTTGCTTGCCACTTTGTCAACGAAGGAGCACAAATTACCCAAGGTTGTAGATTTATAAAATATAATTATTTAGATAAGAACAAACAAGAACAATAATAAAGAACAATATGAATCTCAACTGCCAAAGAAACTTATCGATTGGATGATTTATTATTTAATATTTTCAAATATTATAGTATGCTGATAGGTACATTTGACAATTTATTTACATATATATACAATATAATATGTATATATGTAAATATGTATATGTGAAAGAATATTTGCTGTTATAACGAAAACTTAATAAACATAATTTTATTATGTGGCATGTTTCTTACGAACATGTATATATGCGTCATAATTATTATCTACAGATTAAAATAAAAATATTTAATATTTGTATACAGTGTATATTAAATTATCATTCATGTAGTCAAATAAATGATGATTCCAATTTTATGTCTAAATGATTTTTTAAATAAATTTCTTTCATTATTTTTTTCACAACGAAGAACTCTCTTCTATGTTGTATATCAATCAATAAAATGTATTTGAAAAAGATTGTCATTTGTATAGAATACAATCAACAAATATTTATTTCAAATATAATACACGATCAATGTATCTTGTGGTTAGAAATGTTTTCTAAATTTAAATGTAATGTTGTTCATCTTATCGTTGTACTTGTCTGTGTTCCTTACATTTTGGATCATATTGGCTTTGATAATATTCTATATTTGGTATTATTTTAAAAAACAACGAAATTCTAGACTCGTTTAATTTAATTTCATCATTTTGTTTCTCTATAAATTCATGCGTCATGATTGATGTGAAGAATTCATCTTCTCATACACATGTAAGTTAATTAATAAATTATTCCTTTTATAGTAAGATCATTTGTTGCAATTATATTAAAGTTTATTTGTACATTTGTATCCTTTTTATCCATCTATTAATTTTGCTGTATTAAGAATACGCATTATCTGTACCCTGCGTGTGAATATGTAAAATTTGTCATCAAGCGTGTCGGCCCATAGTTGAAATATATTTTGAAATGACATATATGGTAGCATTGTGAATATGTCTCGATATTAAATATGATCTTTGTCTCCCTTCTTTATCATCGAACTGGTTCTCTGTCCAAACTATCTCACATTCTGTTTCTCATCTACGCATCTTAGCAGCCCGTGTATTTCACACAGTTAGATATGTCTGCTCGAAGTCCAGTTTCTTCTTTCAAGTAATCCCGTATAAAAAATCTGGATGCATAGATAATTACTTATTCCTTTTCTTTACCGTTATATACGCAATACAGAACTGACCACCGACTAGGGTTCAGGTTTACTATCTTGCAAGGGTATCCCGTATATCCCTCACTCATTAGAATGAACTGTACCTTTGAAGATTTCAAACTCTCCCTTTAGTTGAGGGATCTAATCCTTTTATACTTTAATGCTTGACTGTGCTCTTTTACAAAATTTAAGTATATGGAATAACTTAGTATATTCTTATAGTTAGACAAATATTTTCTTTTCTCCTTTGTATTCTAACTTTGATATCATAGACATTTAATTTACATCTTTTCGTATAATTCCAAAGTAAGAGAAATCATTTCTCTTTTAAAAGATATACATCTATAAAAACGTAAAAGTTCTTATAAGTGATAACTGCAATACTAATATTTGAATTCTCATAAGAAATAGAAAAAACAAAGCTATAACTTAGTACGACATAACATTTAAGTATCCTTTATTATGATAATAGAGACGCTCGTCTTAGTCCAACGACCCCCTATAGGTGCAACAGCTTCCCGAGCATACGAATGTTCTCTTCTGGTGGTGGCGGCTAAGAAGGGGCATATTATTGTCGTAATACGGGATTCACCCCTGTTTATCCGTAAAAAAAGAAGAATTTCTCATAGCCAAACAAGTTTCCAAGCCGAGGAGGAGAGAAACTTGCTGGGGGTCCATCCTGTAAATGTCCGTTCATGCCTGTTCGAAAGATCCTGAGAAAATCTTACTCATGGCTGGTCTTTCCCGCCTGTATTTGAGATTCTCTCGGATACACTAACGTGGGAAACGAGGGTGCGAATGATCATTAAAAGCTGCATCACCACCAATCTCATATTTCTCGCCAAGACGTATATATTTTCATTGTGTTAAGAAAAGAAATAAAAAAAAAAAAGGAAAAGAAGAAATATATATGTCTATCTATACAAGTTTCTTGCATCTTCTCGAAGTTCAAATAAATAATATGCAAAATAATGTCTCGTCGTGTGAACAAATATCATTGAAATGATCTAACAAAATATTTGTCTTATTAAAGAAGAAAAATAAATAAATAATAATAATAATAATAATAATCTAATTGAATGTTAATAAATACTTTATAATTATATACTATTAAATTATTTTATAATTATCTACTTTTTTCTCTATAATTTTCATACAAAAAATTAAAAAAAAAAAAAGATCAAGAAATTTTCTTACCGATAGTAGGTAAAATAGGAAAGATTATCGGAGTAGAACGTAAAAGGGTAATATGTGATTTGAATTAATTAAGAAAAAAATTACAATTAATTTCCAACGATGAAATGTAATAGCCGATTATTTACGATAAATGTTAATTTATCATTAAAAAAAAAAAAAAAGTAAAAAAAGCGAAACAATTTGATTAATTTCGATGACGAATAAAAAAAATATTCCGCAACAAGTGCGAGACGATCCCCTCTCGTCGAGTATCGATATATTTTCAATTTGCGTTTGATCTAGCCAAGGAAGATAATATTTCTTATTTCTTTTTATCATTAGTTAGGATTAATCTACCAATTTTGAAGAAAATAACTTAAGGATCTCAGCCATTTAAAAAAGAAAAGAAACAAAAATAATAAAAAGAAGAGAAGAGAAGAGAAGAGAAAAAAAAATCAAGCTAAGAAAGATCGAAGAAACAAGATTTTTCAAATCGTAGGTATGTACTCGACCACTTAAATTTCAACCTCAAATAACAATAACGCGAGGGTCAGGCAAAAAGTGCATTGTCTGCACGTCGCTGGGAGACAGACAGACAAGCAACACAGTGTGCAAAAGAAAAAGGGGAGAGACAGAGACAGAGAAGAGAAGTGAAGAGAAGGAAAAGGAGAAGGAGGAGTATAGACGGAAGGAGTGGGGAAAGGAAAGAGAGAGAGAGAGAGAGAGAAAAAAAAATGAACGAACGAAAGGAAGAAAGAAAGAAATAAAGAAAGATAGACAGATAGATAGATAGATAGATAGAAAGGGACGGATGAATAGAGCAGACAGAGTGGGTGGATGTAAGCGAGTGAGCGAGTAAGCGACTAAATTAGCGAGCGAATTAGCAAACGAGTAAACGAGTGGATGATGTCGTGTAGGCAGTAAAAAGATGAACGTAATGAAAACGAACGAGTAAGAAAAAAAAATAAAGAAAGAAAGTAAGAAAGAAAAATAAATATATATAAAAGCTTCGAGATAATAATAATAATAATAATAATAATAATAATAACAATGATAATAATGCACGTAAAGAGATGTTTTTTTTTTTAAATTTTTTTTGTTCTGGGAGGTTTTTATTTTTTGTTAAACATAAAGGAATAATTTTTCTCCTGAAAAACCTTCGACAATTTCTAGGGTGGTTTGCTGCTGTTCTGATGCTTCCGGCAGAACGACCAATACGATTCGGAAGATAAAAATAATCGACAGGAAAGTAGAAAAGCTCTGAAGGAACAGGTTTCTGCGAACGAAAGAACGAACGAACGAACGAACGAACGAACGAAACGAACGAACGAACGAACGAACGAGCGTGCGAGCACTCCTCCCGTCCCTCTTTTTCCTCCTCTTCATCCACGGTGAGACGCGAGTGCACGACTCGACCAGACGGACGGCCTACGGTTGCTCTCAGGTACGTACCTTGACCCTCGTGCCCTGTTCTTAACTCTCTTAGAATTACTTACTTACTTACTTACTCAAAGACAAACGTCTGATAAATCCAAGAATTCGCAACTACGTCACGTTTTCTTATTAGATAATTTTGATAAAAACGAATATGCTTCTCTTAAAAAGTAATTGATATATTATTTTTGGTATATATTCGCGCCAAATAATTCGTACAATTTTGTATCATTCGACAGGTGAATCGTCTCATTTTACTCTCCTTTAATCGAATTTACTTTCTTTTTTAATATTTCAATTGTTCTTATTGTTTTCTTTTTTTCTATCTTTGATCTAGTAAGGAAATTCGTTAAAAAAGAAAACCCTGTTAATTTTTAAATTAAATAATTATGTATACGAATACATAGAAAGGAATTAATTTATAGAATGGAATAAATTGTCTACGGTGGAACAGGATATTCAGTTTTTGTTTTCGAAATTATCGGATATATAACGGTTTCGTTCAATTACTAATTATAGAAATAATTTCTTTTTTTGTTGTCCTTTTTTTTTTTGTTTTTTTTTTGTTATACGCTAAGCGTTCTTTCGTGTCGTACTTAGAGGCGGTTGTGCTCACCGGGGCTTGTTCAAGGAATGCGCAACATGTGGCAGGCAACATGCTATTTTGTACATACGCCCGATGCAGCGTCCAAAGAGTTACGCGTAATGTCGTTTGCAAGATGTTGCATGACAAAAATCGACGCCATTCGAATGCAGGTTAAATCGAACTATCGTATTTTCTTTCAATATTGTTTCATTTAAATAAAATAATTATTTACGAATTGTTTAAATTAAAATAAATTCAAGGTAGAGAACGCGCGCGATAACGTCGAACAACATTGCAAATAACGTTGTAAAATTAAAAAGAAATAATTCAAAATTACTGTAGTAAAAAAAAAAAAAAAAACCAAGAGGAAATAAAAAGTTGATTTGATCGTTTGATTAAAGATAAAAGAAAGAACCTGATAATATTTTCACATAAAGAAGTAAGGACCGATGTAGGTCAAGTAGCCGAAACTGGACGAAGGTTTCGCTTGGAACCCTTCGAATGAGCATAGAAAGAACCCAACGTGCAGAATTTATCAACGACATCGATCTCTTATACCTTAATGCAAAAGTTAATGTTCGAGTTAAATTATATTTTTTAACTTTTCCTTTATCTACTCAAATTTTTCCATAAATATCGTAAAACGATTGGAGAGATTACAGAATTACGAATAACAAAATAATAATATTAATAATAATAATAATAATAATAATAATAATAATAATAATAATAATAATAATAATAATAATTTAGCAAACGTAGTATTATTCGCGATAAAAAAATGTTGTCATTTCGAGCTGTTTCATCGAGAATTGAATTAGCTTAAATTACAAATGTTTCGTATCATTTTCTTTTTTCTTTTTCAAACGATTAGAACAATTAAATCTTTTTCAATAGAAATCAAAATACATATATATATAGATTACTGCGGATTCAAATATTAGTCATTGCACATACATATATACACGTGTGCAATCTTACATTGCGTAATAGCTGCTTACTCTAACTATAAATTCATTTTCTGGGATACACTAGCAAAAATAATACCAATGCGAATATCAATTTTATATTTTTTTATCTCTCGACGTACAAGTATACGACATATATACGTGTATGTATTATATAATTATCAACTTATAATTCGATAACAGATAAGCATATCATTTTCTTTCTTTCTATTTATCGACATATTTTTAAATGATATACCAATTCGAAAAAAAATTATAGATATACACATATACTACAGAGATAAAATTGCAAGAGGACAAGTCTTTGAATTTATGCATACGAATAATGAAATAAAATTGTACATCTACCTATTTTTAAATTATAAATATATACTACAAATAAAACATACAAAATTGATATTCATATTAAATATTATGAACATTTATATAGACAAAATGAAAGTCGTTTTCTGTTAAAACCGCGAAGCCCCTCGGCGCTAGACACGCGCGTAACCTCTTCCGCTTAAAGGTCCCGGGTACGGGCCTGGGCCAACGATGCATGCCTCCTCTCCGATATTCTGCACGCTCGTCGAACGAGTCCAAACGCACCTTAACGTAGCCTAGGAGAAGTGAAAACCGTTCGCAAGATTTTACGCGTGTCTCCTTTGACCTTGCTCCGGCTGCACTTTCCTTAAAAGTATTGAAAATTTTGCCCTGTTTTTAAATTAAAAGTATGCACTTTTTCGCGTTCGTTCCTTGAACCCCGCGGGGGAGCTTGCCTCATTGTCTTATTTTCACCTGCCGCATTTTTCAAGAGGCAGCAGTATGCGCGTTGTATTAGGTTAACGCGCTTGTTCCCCGATACCTATACACGTACATGTAAAAAGTCATATCAAACTACATATAACGTTAATTTACAGGCAAAGGTAACCACAAAGAACATTTCTTCATTTCGTTTCGTATAATACAACATTTTTTTTGGATACGACACGAACGAAAAATCCTCCAGACGTATTAGTTTTTTTTTCTTCCTCTCTTTTTGTTTCTTTTTTTTTTCTTTTCTTTTACGACGAATATTAAATTATGCCTCGGCAGGTCATTTTTGCTGTATCGATGAATATGTATATGTATATGTAGATTTGTCTATCTCTACGAGATAACAAGAGACGAGCAAGAGAATTTTATAGCTTATTTTTTTCTTACTTTTTCATTTTTTTTTCTTCTTTTTATTGTTTTTTTTCTATCATGCGTGAAAATACGTCCATATATACATCATTGCATATAAGCACGATCTTTTGCGATTCGCGCTAAAAAGGGTCAACGCGCTCACAGATGTATTTATCGACGAAGCAAATCGTCTCGAGGAATACATTACGAAATGCAAACCAAAGTATCTGTCTACGATGTTAAAAGAATATCTGTTTACTTGTTCGTTCTGATCGTTTTGTCCAATTTGTAAATGTTTTTTTCCCTCTTTCTTTCTATGTACGTATATATTTATTTAAATGCGAAACGAGAAAATCATAAGTGAATTTCTAAAGAAAATTCTCTTCTCTTGATCATAAGAATATTCCTCTTTACTTATAACTTCTCGTTTAGATAGATACATTATTATATATAAATGAATTATAATAGAAATAATTAAGTGAGGTTAGAAATAAACATATTGTAAATATTTCATTTTACTTTTCTATGTTTTATTCTTTGTTTTTTTAATAAACGTTGTAAACGTTAACGATATACGCTTGGCAAATATTTTTATTATAAGTATATATAAAATAGAAAAGAAATAAAAAGAAAATGGAAACGTGGTAGTCGGAGGAGGGATCGATATTTAATATGCAGGGGATCTTTAAATGGTAGGGACAGCCCTGGACTCTATAAGGCGGGGCTCGTCTGTGTGCCGCGAAGAGAGAGGTAAGAGGTTGAATCGGATTGGATTGGGGCGCAACTCGCAAGCAAGCGAGCGAGCAAGCAAGCAAGCAAACTGGTTTGGTTTTGTGGGGCTTGCACCACTGCATCGCTCCATCGGCGAGGCAGTCCAATTTATGCATTACGGCTATGTAGGCACTACACGATATCAAAACTCTCTGCTCCCGGGCCTTTACAACTCCATTTACCATCTCCGTTACAACAATATTATCTGAATTTCGCAAGTGCCTACAAGAACTAAATTCGCTTTAACCAACGTTCACATTTGGGTACCATACCATATCCACTTTGTGTTTTGTCGGTTACTACACGCACGTTCGTTCGTTCGCGCGGTGAAACAAAGGAGTCCAAGTGTGGTTAAGACGATACATATATATTATATATATATATATAATATATATATATTATATTATATTTTCGTTATTAAAACGCGTCGCGATTGTGGTGTTCGATAATTATGAATTTCATACCTCGCAAAAGATCGTGACTGTTTTTGTGTTTGTCTGTTTATCTATAATTTGGTGCTTCGCTTAACGCATTTAAAACTAAATTTAGTTATTGTGAAGAGTTCCAATCAGTCAACAGGTACACATCATTTTTTTATTCTATGATTTCTTTTTTTATATATTTCTTTACCTTTATCCTTTCTTCTTCTCTTCTTCTTCCTATTCTTCTTCTTCTTTTTGAACATCATTATTTATAATTTTCTACTATCGGCAGCTTCAAAAACGTACAGAAAGTGCAATTGCCAGATATCTCCTCTCTCTCTCTCTCTCTCTCTCTCTCTCTCTTTTTCTCTCTGGTTTCGTATTCGCTTTTTTTTCTGTCTATATGTGGCGCTTTCGTCTCTCCGTGAGGTTATATAGTGTGCTCTGCTGGAGTGCATCGTTCGATCCTCGCCTTGTGTGATGCTGTCTCTTTCTTTCTTTCTGTCTTCCTTTTTTTTTTTTTTATCTCTGTTCGCCCGCGTTCGCGACTCTCGTACCCAGCAAAAAGAGAGAGAAAGAAAAGAAAGACTTGAGACCGTGGCAAATTCCTATCTCGTAATTATCGTTTTTCGAAGGGAGAAAGAGACGTTTTTTTTTCTTCTTCTTTAATACTCTCACTTCATGATGATCATTATTTATCGATAATATGACCATCTATCAGTATTTTACAATTTTGCAATGTAATAATCTGGTTATTTGTTTGCACTGAAATATCATCTTTCTTTCTAGAAACAATTTTCACGCGCGTAATTGGCGCGGACATTTACAAAATATGTTAGTAAATTTCGTCATTCAAAAGCTAAAAGTAATTTAACAAAAGTTTGCAATTTCTTTTTTAATAAATACCTTTTATCCGTATCTTTGTTTTATCCTTTAAAATGAAATTATTCTAACGTTGTTCTACACCTTCATTCCATTTTTTTTTCTTCAATCAAGCAGAAACAGAAATACGAGCATATATTTGCGTACTTGTCCTGCGTGTGTGTGTGTGTGTAATTTTGCCACACCAATTTGCTCTTTTTTTGCACTTGATTTTGGATTCTTTTTCTATTCTTATCATTATCATTATTATTATTATTATTACTACTACTACTAAATAAAAATAACAGGCAAGATATTTTTTTATCTATTTTTTATTTGCAAAAAAGAGGTTAATGTATTTTGCAAGGAGATAACGAAGAAAAGATTGTTTCGACGTTCGTATGTTTTAATCTTAAGTCGTTGATAGAAAGAATAATAATAATAATATTAATAATAATTTTTTATATTTATGTAGATGATTTAACGCTATCTGAAAAAAAAATGATCGATTGTTTATTAACCAATTAAAATTTAATAAGTTGTACATATTAAAATGTATTTTAAAAAAATGAATTCGTCATTGATTTTAATACATAATATCACGTCTCTTTGTGTGATAAAAAATATATATGCATACCTACATGTATATATGTTTATATATATAGTACTAACCAACGTATCGTTTTAAAATTTTGCACGAAATAATAAAAGGAAAGGAAAGGAGAAGAGAAATCCTTTTATATATGCATACATATGTATATATATATATATATATGTATATGTATATATGTATATATACATAAACGATTCACAGACGGCTTTGAAAACGATCAGCAACGTCTTCTTGAACTACCCGTCACCCATGGTTCGTTATTTCGCGAGCGTACCGTCTGAACTTTTTCTCTTCTCACGGTTTTCGCACGGGCCAATCAGAATTTACGAGTGCGCCCGAAAGAAAATGGCCAACCTCGTGTCGCTGGGTTCGAGCGTATCTTTGCGCGTCGTTTTGTGAACCCCGTAGTTCGCAATCACGTTGACGTCTGTCGCCATTTCCTCGCACAGGGGGAAAGCATTCGTTTATTTTCTAAGGTAAATCATCAAGGATTTATTCCACAAGGATAAAACGACGACGATTTTAATCTAATCGTTATATATTTAATATCCTAAGATATTATTATTCAAGTGCAATTGAAATTAATACTAAATGCGTGTGTCCAAAGACGAAGAAGGAAGTAAGTGTTATCGGGTGTGCAAAAGTGCATCGCATTCATCGCAACGAACGTGTGGATGCAGTTCTATTGCCGGCCGGCTAATGTCCGAAGACAATTCTTCTAATCCTTTCGTTTCGCGTTTAATATTATTTTGTTATACGAGTGATCGCGACGATTTATTAAAAATCTATTGATTTAATAAATACATTCGTTTAAATTTTGTTCTTTCGATTTATCAGATTTTTCTCGATTAACTTTTTCTTCTTCTTTTTTCTTCTATCTTTCTTTTCTTTTTTTTTTTCTTTTAATTCGCCGTTAAAAATTCGTAAACTTTTATTAAATATTACTCGATATTGTTTAATCGGTTTACTACGATGGATAAAAATGTGGATATTCATATCGAATTGTTATTTGTTGAACAAATCCATTATATCGGAAGTATTCTCGCGCTTTTAAACTTTCTCTAACGATCTTTACGTTAGCGCGGGAAAATTCTTGCGTGTGTATCTCTAATTCATCGATTCGCTTATCGGTATTTCATAGATTTTTCTTCTCTTTATATTTCTTTACGATATTTCATTCTTCGTTTCCTTTCATTTTTATATTTATTTTTTCTTTTCGATTTTTAAAATTACTATCTTTATCATCATCATCATCATCATCATCATCATCATCATCATCAATTTTCTTCTTTGCAAAATATCTTTTTAAATATTTTCCATCTATCATTGATCCATTTAAATCATAAATACAGCAATTTAAAAAATTGTATCTTTTTTTATTTTTTATTTTATGATACTGTGTTTAGATTTGCAAGTAATAATTAATAATGTTATTGTGCAAAGATGTTTTCTGATTTGAATTTGTTCTGCCATTGTAGATATTTTTCTAATTAAATATTTTATTCTAACGATACCTTTTGTTCTAAATGTATCGATAGCAATCATATATTATTTAAATAATATAATATTACCAGGATGTTAATAATTTGTTTTACAAACATTTATTAAACAATACATAGTATTTGTCTTTCTATTAAATTCAATAACTTTTGTCGATAAGTTATATTGTTAACGATTTAAAGAATTCATTTTTTTTTTTTTTTTCAAATAATAATTTTACTCAAATATTGATCATATGTTTTTATAACGTAAATGTTATCTCCCTGCAATCGTTTAGTTTTGAGAATTTGATTTGTCGATATTTGTACGCAAACTGTTTTTTTCTTTTAATTAAATAAAATTTGTATATCGTTTGCAGCTATGGCAGAAGGAAATGGGGAAATAAAAATGGAAGAGAAGCAGTCGAAGGAGGAAATGGAATACACAGAACGGACAGAAGACTACACAAAACTAATCCAATACGGACTAGATGAAAAAGTGGCTGGGAAACTTGATGAAATTTACAAAACAGGAAAGCTGGCACATGTGGATTTGGATGAAAGGGCATTAGATGCTTTAAAGGAATTTCCAGTCGAGGGAGCATTAAATGTACTCACACAATTCCTTGAATCAAATTTAGAACATGTGTCCAACAAATCAGCATTTCTCTGTGGCGTAATGAAAACTTATAGGCAAAAAAGTCGTGCCGGTCAAGGAACTGGTACGAGTACGACATCTAAAGCACCTGATGAGGATAAAATCAAGGTAAATTGTTTAAATAGTTTCCTAATTCAAATAAGTTTAAAGTCATTGTTAATAAATTGAATTATATTTTTCATTAAAATTATATTTTAATTATAGATGATACTTGAAAGAACTGGTTATCCCTTGGATGTAACTACAGGACAAAGAAAATATGGCGGACCGCCACCAAATTGGGAGGGCCCGACTCCAGGAACTGGTTGTGAAGTAAGTTATTTATTTTGAATTATGATTATTAATATAAGATATCTTTGGATTTTAATTCGTTGTTAATAACATTTATATATTATATAGAAATATGTTATTTACGAGATATAATAAATCATTTCTTCGTTTTTGCAAAAGGTGTTTTGTGGTAAAATCCCAAAAGATATGTATGAAGATGAGTTAATACCGTTATTCGAAAAATGTGGCAAAATTTGGGATTTGAGACTGATGATGGATCCTATGTCAGGTTGCAACAGGGGATACGCATTTATCACTTTCACTAACAGGGATGCTGCTCAATTGGCTGTCCGTGAGGTATGTTTAGATTTTCTCCTTATTATCCTTATCTAATGTGTAGGTACATGTTCGTAATGTGTACAAATTGGTTATTTTTTTTTTGCTCCAGTCAATACCATGCCGCTATGGATATTGGATTTTTTGTTCCTTTCTTATTTACAACATTTTTAGAAATGTTACAAAATTGTTATTGCTACCAAATCACGTGTTCTTTCGAAATGTTTATGAATTTATTGTGTATGAATTAAACTAGCTGCTTTTATTTTATTCTGATATGACTATATGCATAAATTACATACATTTATATGCATACATATTTATATACATATGTATGTATACATTTGTGTATATAAATATGCATCATATATACATACTTTTCTATTATTTTTCTTTTTGGATAAATAATTAAATATATCGCGCCACAAATTTTTTAATGCTTTAAGTACATATATTTGTCTTCCTTTTAATTTCTTTTTATTCTTTTTTTTTAATTTTATTCTATTAAAAATAATGGTATTTAATATATTAAATTAATAAAGAGGTATCGCGTTGACGCGGTATTATATTACTAATAACGTATATATATATATACTTTTTTGAAATAGTTATTTAAAATTACTAAACATTTCGAACGACTATTATTATCATATCCCTATGTGGCTTGTTCTGTGTTCTTCATACCTCTTAATTTTCCTTGTAGTGGTTATATTCAAACATGTGATTTAACATAATCTCAAATTTTTAACTTCTTTTTTTTTTTTTTTGTTAGGAACAATCCACATATCTGTTTCTTATGTATATGTCCCTGACCATTTATTCATCTTTAAGTATACAATTATTTCCAACTTATCCCAACATACAAATAACACTGAAAAATGTATATTAATTATATCCTATGGATAAGTTTCTTTTTCCAGCTCTCCTCTTTGCTCAGTGGGCAAAATTGGGAGTGGAGAACCTTCCTGAAAATGAAAATGAACAAAAAACAAAACAAAACAATAATCTTTTTAAGTCTAATTGGTTAGGGGTATATTTACTAATTGGTCAAAACTCATTGGACAATGACAATTTTTGTAACAAAATTTAAAAAAGAAAAAATTGGTAGGCTTAAAATTTGTTTACAGGAGCACAATGAACGCCGGTTTCCTATATTGTGAAGACTCGAGCGACAAAGCGCATGCCACTTTCTCGCTTTCATGGATCTACGCCATGTTAATTTCTTTACTAAATTGCACATTTTGAAATTCTTCCCAAATTCTACCATTTGTCGTAATTACTTAACCACTCAAATTGTATCATTGGAACAAAATTAGGCATGTGTCTGTTTTCTTCATCCCACAGCTCGATAATCACGAAATAAAACCCGGCAAGAATCTGAAAGTTAACATTAGCGTTCCTAATCTACGACTTTTCGTGGGGAACATACCAAAGTCAAAAGGCAAAGAGGAGATCCTGGAAGAATTTGGTAAATTAACAGGTAAAGTGAAATTCGAGGAGTGTGTACCTACCTACCTACCTATACCTACCTGTCTACCTGTATTGTATCTTAAGAGTGGTAGCTTCTAAGTAGTGGTTGTAGATGGTATGGAACTATGGAGCATCCAAACGATCATGCGACTGTGTGATCTACAAAACCTGCGGCACCTTCAGATCTGGTCAGTCTCCTTGCCTCTCGGTTTATTAGTGAACAGTAACACCTCTCTGGTCCAAGTCTTCTTTCCTCGCATATTTAGGTTGAGTTATGAGTTATTGCTTCCTACTATACACGCGGAACCTTATTATCCATATCTTCTTCTGCCACCTCATTCCCACTTTCTGCATCTGGTTACTTCATCGAACTTGTATTATTAGCGCTTCTTTACCTTCTCTTTGGGAAGGTTCAAAAGAGGCGAGGAAATGGAAAGAGAAAATGTGGAAGCTATAGTAATTATATTAAGAATTATTTCTTTTGAATCTCGACGGTAGAAAAAAGAGAAAGAAAGAAAGAGACAAAAAAATTAATTAGAAAGACAAAAAAAAAAAAAGAATTATGCTGTGCTGTGTTTATTGCAATGTCGCAATATGCAAATGTGATTCATGACTAAGCCTCAAGCATGGGGGTATGGGAGACCTGCGTGGACCGCTGGGGCGTTTGACTCGCTAACAAACGGACAGGCACTCCCACCCACCCTGTACAATATCGATCCTCTTTTAACTTATATGTCCGTATCCTATAATCCTATAAACATTTTCATTGAAAGTCCTCTGTACAATCTCCCTGAAGGTCGCTTCATGAAATCCCACATTCAGACAGCCAATAAGCAGGTGAAATTATAAAAGGCAAGCTTAATTGGCACTCTCCTTCCACATTATTCTTACAGCTGAATGATTATGAGATTCGGAAAGGGAAAAAGATTGGTGTTACCGTATCTTATAACAATCACCGCTTGTTTGTGGGAAATATTCCAAAGAATCGAGACCGAGATGACTTGTTCGAAGAGTTTACAAAGCACGCACGTAAGTTGACAATTGTCCTTAAATCAGCAAGCAGTAACCAAATGAAGTTCTGTGGGAGAGATGAAGGGACAAATATTTATATATTAATGATTGGGTGTCTTGATCCAGTTCGTAGCAGAGAGGTGCCAGGTGGGTCAAGTCTAGCCCTCTTGCATTACTATATAATTACAAAATTTAAAACAAAAACAAAATTAAATCGGTATTTTTAATACTAAATTTTTATTCGATTTTTCAAAGAGGTTTATATAATTTTCAGTGTGGTAATGCTGGTATAAAAAAAAAAAAAAGAACAAAAACAAAATCTATCTTCGTAACACTTACCTAAATTTATTTTTAAGCTAAATGTGAACTCTTCAAGTATAAAATTAATAATTTCTTTATTGGTAATATCATTCATTTCTTATGTACATCGCAAAATATGGATAAAAGAAMAAAAAAAAAAAAAAAAAMAAAAAAACAAAAAAGAAATATTTGAGAGAGAAAAATTTCGAATACAAAATGTCCCACAACCAAGGGAATAATAAGATAACTTGAAATTTTGAAAGCTGTCAAAATTATTCCAAAAAATGAATAGGAATACGTCATAGAATAATAATAATAATAATAATAATAATTGCAAAGTTGTTAATTTACTTTTTTAATGCAACGAACAAGAAAAATTGACTTACAAACTAGCAGCTAAAAACATGACTATGCTTTTGGTTGGATATTTTTTTTTTATTTGTCTTTTCTTTTTCTTTTTTTTCCGTCTATCATATCTACCCTTTTCTCTCTCTTTTTTTTTTTAATCATTCATAACTTAATCAGCAACGTTCAAATTGAATAAGAACGTTTAAGATTTCTGATATTTTCATATAAATCCAATTTCATTGAAATCATATTTCCTAAATCCAGTATGTGTTTAATAAAAGGAGCCCATACGTTACACAGATAAATAATCCTACTAAAAATAATGTTCGTATATTGTTTTATCTCGTCTGGGAATATATTTTTAAGTATACCAGTTTAGGCATTTAATTGGTTTTGGGACATATGTGATATTTGTTTTGTCATTTAAAAAAAACAAAAAACAAAAAAAAACAAAAAAGTGTGCCGTATTGTTCACAGATTTAGTTAAAACGATAAAATACAGGTCATCGTATCCTACATTATATCCAACACGTTATGTTTACAAAATAATTTAATAACAATTTTCGCGCGCATAGGAGCACCAATTGCATATCGTGGATGATTAAATTTGTTTCCTTAACTCAGAGTTGTTGGTTTCACGTTGAAGTTTGTATGAATGGCGTACATTTTTTATTTTTTTTATTTTTTTTATTTTATTTTATTTTGTTTCATTTTCGTTTATTTTATTTTATTTCTTTATTTATTTATAAACGAAAGTAATCATCGATGAGTGTAGCATAATATAAATTCTTTATTATATTCTGTGTGCGCGTGTATCGTTGTGCGTATGTGAGTGAATATGCGCGAGTGTATGTGTATCTTGCATGAAATCTCAGAATCTGGACACAGAGAGGAGATCAATACAAAAAATGAAAGCAAAAATATATATATATATATATATATATATATATATATATAAAAGAAAAAACAAATAATATATAAAAGGAAAGGGCCAAAGACATTATTATTAAGAGGCATAGGAATGAATCTATCAAGCAGTTTATTTTCAAGTATATTCAATTATTATTAAATAATGGTTTCAAGGCATCTGCGAATTACTTATCATTGCTGTAAAATGTTATATTAAATCTTATCTTTCAATTATCTTACATTGATCTTACCTTGACGCTTAATACAATTGATGCTTGCTATATTTTATATAAATTATTCTTATCGCAGGTATTAAATGAAAAATTTGAAAAGGATTATAATACGCTTTTTAAAAGTATAGAGCAAAATTTGATTTGCATTAAGAAAGGTGCCTTGTTATCCAAATAGTAGTGTAAAGCTTTTAAACTGAGAGGAAGGAGAAGTGAGCCATCTTGCAGAAATGGTTACACTAATTAATTTAACTTTCACACAAGCGTAATTTTTATTTAACAATTCAATCGAGTAAAAGGAAGACTTTTAGTAAAACTACTATCATTGATAGCTGGTTATTTTGTTCTCACCTTGTTAATACATAGTTTATTTTCAAATGTTATAATTAAGTCGAAAGGATATCTCATTTAAATTTGTTTAACTAAAAATATCGTTTTTATCTTTTACTCTTAAGCTAGCATAAATACATATTACAAATTTATACTATAATCTATGTATATTCATAGTGAGAATTAATTCAACGTTTGTTTAGAGATAAGATTGTTGATTTTGGTTTAATAATATTTCCACATAATGTAAAACGTGTGGAATATATTATAATATATTATATTATATATATATATTATATTATATATTATATATTATATATATATATGGGAAGAGGACTTTAATTACAGCAGCGTGGTAGTCATTTTGAGTATTTAATTCAATCTCAGTGCGGTGCATGAAAATTCTAATAGCATGAAAAGATATTTTTGTACTTAATTGATACATTGAAAATATTTAACCTGCATTATCAAGTCATTGGGTTTTTTGAAATTTGTGTATTGAATTAAATATGATATTACAAGTTATTGATGAGAAATTTTTTTGGGGTGTTTTCGACGTAGTGGTAAAATTCTACAGAATATTCTGAAAGGTTATATATGGAGCTTGCAATCTTTCCTTTTGTAGTTAATTGAACAATATCTTTGCAGTTTAGTGTGCTATCTTTCAACCCACAATTTTTTTTATGGCTTTGTGTTTGTGTTATAAAGCAATATCAGTTTAGTATAGTAAAATGAATAAAAAAGAAGTTAACTTTCTAATATTTTTAGGCTTTTTATCTATGAAAAATAGTTAATAATATAATAATTGAATTAGTAGTCAAATTGAAGGTACATATAGTTATGGAAATAGTATATTAACTATCTCTTTTGCTCGTGTTCATGTTTTTAGGCAAGTTTTCTCGCATGAGTACTTTAATTCTCTATAAACTCAATTCCGTAACAAATCTTAAACACTTTTTCTTCTATTATGAAAATTGAAAATATTAATTAAAAACAGAGATTATATATTCTATTATATATTTAATTAGTTTTCTGTAGGTCACACTAATATTGTATTAATAGATTATTATGTGGAAATTAATTTGATATTGTAACTAAATAATAATAATAATAATAATCATCATGTCTTCATTTTCATGCACAATACGCAATCAATCTTTTTCTATAAATAATATCTACATTTTTGTCGAGTATATACTTATAATAGTTTTCTATATTTCTAATATGGGATAATTTAATTCGTAGATGATGATTTTAATGATTCAAAAAGAAGGATTTGTTTTATATCGTTTTTCATAGTAGTCAAGTAAATGTGTATAATAATTTTTCATTTTATTTTTCTACTGAATATTAATAATAATAAATATCTTGCCGCACACGCGTCCATCATAAATATTTATTTCTACGATTGTGAAAATATATTGTGTCGTATAAGTATAATATTGATTCTAATTTATACCTAATGATGATGATATATAACGATTGATTTAGCAGAAATTACGTGATAATAATAATATTTATAAAATATTTATAATTTAGTTCGAGAAGTATAATATAATACAATATAAAGTTTGTACTTCTTTTTTTTTTTTTTATAGGTGTGGTGTTTTCATATAGCTTTTTCTAGCGTAGAATTTTTCAAAAACAATAATATGATAATTTAGTTCAAATTGAATTATTCAATTGATATTCGAATATCGTCATATTGTAACAATTAAGTTCTCTATCACGTTCATTCCAAATCAAATAATTTTGAAAATCATTTTTTATTTTCTCTCCAAAAAAAAATTAGAAGTAAAAATATAATAATAACAACAACAACAACAACAACAACGTTTAATGTCATTTTATATATAATATTATATTGTGCTTTTTAATGATATCTTTTTATTACGTTTTTACAAGAAAATAATATCATAATATTTTCGGCCTATTATTCCTTTGTATTTTTGGTACAGTTTCGTTTGAGTAGTTTTATTTATTTATTACATTTATATTTATATTTTTATATTTCGTTTTCTTTTCCTTTTTTTATTTATTTATTTATTTATTTACTTATTATTTTTTTTTTTTATCTTTTATTTTTTTATATGAACCTTATATACGTTTTGTATGATTTTTCACCATACAGCGGGCCTGACTGAGGTGATTATCTACAGTTCACCAGATGACAAAAAGAAGAACAGAGGTTTCTGCTTTCTAGAATATGAATCTCATAAAGCAGCCTCATTAGCAAAACGAAGACTAAGCACTGGTCGCATCAAGGTCTGGGGCTGTGATATCATAGTTGATTGGGCTGATCCACAGGAAGAGCCTGACGAATTAACAATGTCCAAAGTATGTAGAATAGTTTTGTTAACGTAAGATATATATATAGTTTATATATCTATAAAATAATTATCTTTATAGGTACGAGTGTTATATGTTAAAAATTTAACGCAAGATTGTTCTGAAGAAAAGTTAAAAGAATGTTTCGAACAATATGGAAAAATTGAAAGAGTTAAGAAAATTAAGGACTACGCATTTGTGCATTTTGAAGACAGGGATAATGCCGTAAAGGTAATATTAATTGATTTTCTAATTAATAATTTGATTATTGACGTATGAAGTTAGATCAGAATGAAAAATAATTGTGTCGTATATTTTAGGCAATGAATGAGTTAAATGGTATAGAAATTGGTGGTTCGCATATAGAAATTTCACTAGCTAAGCCTCCATCTGACAAAAAGAAGAAAGAAGAAATTCTTAGAGCAAGGGAACGAAGAATGATGCAATCATTGCAAAGTCGTGGCGGGTAAGTTGTAATAATATACTTATTTTATTATATTTCAATTATACTTTAATATTTATTTGATTTCAGTTATTCAGGGTATTAATTTGATATGTTTACTGGAAGAAATATAATATATTAATATATTTGTTATGAATTATTATAGAGGGTCTCCATCTCACCCTGGAATGATGGGAGGCCCGATGCCAGTTCGTGGTCCTGGACAAGGTCCTAGAGGCACCGGTGCAGGTATGCGTGGACAAATGGGACGAGGCGATTATGGTAAGTATTATTTACTATCATTTATTATTTATATATATATATAGTTTAATAAGTTTATGTGTTATAACCCATTCACAATTGACGTGTAAAATACACAAGAGTATTTTTGCTAAACTTTAAATATTCTAATTATCGTTTAACAAATATGTATGTTATCGAAATAATCACACCACCTTTAATATTTTACCAAAAAGATTTTGATATAAGATTCTCTTTGCAACAAGCTTCAAATTATTGCAATAATTGTTTTATTATGTTTTGTAAAGCACTGACCAAAGAAATAAATTGTTGTATAGAGTGTGTGTGAATATTACTTACACCAAGTTTGATGTAACAAAAATGAAACATATTTTTTAATGATGTAACGTAGTCTAAATTAAAAATAGCTTTTTTTCCCCTTTATAAAATATAAATTACTACATATGTGTACAAGAAAGAAAAAAAAGAAAAAAAAGATCGTAATATTAAAACTTTGATAAAATACGTAGGAGAAATAATTTCTATCAAATTTTAAACAGGTGTTATAAAATATTATATAACATTTATTTATTTCAGACAAAATAATACTCAAATTTATACCAATAATTTTTTGACATGATATATATATATATTATTTATTATTTAATTGAAACGTCCCGCATGCTTTTGGGGATTTTTCACTATCTCACTACATACCTTTGGCTTTACACGCATGATAGGCTCTTTCCTATGCGTGAAAGACAAATATTTATTCGATATTTCTAATGCTAAGTTATATATTCATATACATATATATATATATATATATTTCCTCGACCACACAACTTTTTTCCTTTTCCTACTATTCCGATAGTTATTTATTTTGCGGTAAATGCATTTAAACAAACAAACAAAAAAAATATATATATATATATACGGTTTGATTGCTTTTAATATTTTAAGTAAATGAAAACTTATAAAATTCTAAATTAAAAGCAAAAAGAAAAAAAAAAAAGAAAATATTAACGTCACTTTGATATAATATATTTTAAATGAAAA